AAAAAAAAAAAAAAAAAAAAAAACCTGGAAACCATTTTCTCAATACTTTGGTGAGAAAACCAATTCACTTAAAATATGGAAAATGGGTCAGGTGGGGGTGGGGGTGGGTGGGGTTGGGTGGAAAATGTTTTGTCAAGAAAATTTTTACCATCAAACAACAAAAAACTTGGAACTTGAAAAATAATTTCCACGTTCCATAGAAAATAGGATGAATCAAACAGGTCATAAAGGATTTCGCTATTTGTACAAAAAAAAAAATCAAGTGATCAAAATGATGTGAAGGAAAAAAATTGAATGACAAAAAATAATTGTATTTTAAACTGACAAAAACATAATGGCATATGATGATGTCAAATTAAATACTGTCCTTCATTTAAATAATGGCATATGATGATGGGTAAACCTGGATTTACATATATCACTGTCCTTCATTTAAATACTGAAAACTTAATTGCCAAATTCAAAGGTATGATGATGTCAAATTACATATGGTGGCACAATCTTCATTGAAAATTGGAACTATACAAGTATCCACGCAATTTGAAGACGATTACGGAAGATCCACGTGCTCTATTTTTAACATTAAATCAACATGCTGGTCGTCTCTCTCCCCTTGTTCTTTGGACCAACACATTTGAATATAATATTTTTATTCATTTTATTTTTTATTTTTTTGTAATTTTTTAACAACAAAAACACTATGTTCCTAATAATCATTACTTCAAAAAAAAAAGATTTATGTATATTTGCTTGCAATTATTGATTAAAAAATTCAAATTTGTCAAGAATACTATGCAATTAAACCCCTGTTTGATACCCATTTTGGAAAAAAAATAAATTCGGCATAGTGATTGATGGAAGAATGTGTGGTCAAAAACTAATGAGAATTTTTGAGTTTATGTATAGTATTATTTTATTGATAGAATGTGATTCAAATGAGTGGTTGAAATATCACTCGTCTTCCCTGTGTTATTTCCCTATTATTACCCTCTCTCTTCTTGTTCTTTGGGCACCCATTTGAACATACGAGTTGACTTTCTCCCTCTCCCATTTTTGTTGCACAAAAGCACCAAAAATGGACCAAAATCATGAACTTGCAGTAGCCCAGATGAGAATGTCTGTTGAAAAGCTTGGTTCTTCCACTGAGGTAATTTTTAACCGAAAATCCCGCATAATGTTTAGTAACCATTTCCTTACTCACATTCATACGAAATATAAGCTTTAAAATATTGATGATCAAAAAGTTTAGTTCTTCGATGCTAAAAGGCCACTTTCTTGCAGAAGTATGAAGACCCAACTTTGATGAGGTTCTTGATTGCAAGATCAATGGACGTTGAGAAAGCTGCAAAGATGTTTGTGCAGTGGCTGCAATGGAGGACTTCATTTGTGCCACTTAATTACATCCCTGATTCTGAAGTTCAAGATGAATTAAATTCAAGAAAGATTTATTTGCAGGGCCAATCAACTAATGGATGTCCTGTAATTGTAGTCAAAATCAAAAACCATGTTCCTGCCAAGGATCAACTCCAATTCAAGAGTAAATAATTCTTCTTCTTCTTTTTTTTTTTTTTAAGCTTACAGCATTAGTTTTATGTGATTATCTATATTCATGCTATGTTTTTTCACTGAATAGTTATTTTGTTTATGTTATCCTGTTTAAGCGTCAAATAGGGTTGAGTTAAAAATAATTCACACGTAGTTGTTAATAAACATATATTACCTAGAGTGTGTTTGGTAGAGATTTTTGGGGGAAGAATTGATTTTTGAATAGTGATATGATGGGAAATGTGTGGTTGAAAAAGAAGAAAAAAGTATTGATGTGATGGAAAATATTATTTTATTGAAGAATGTGTGGTTGAAAATGAGAATTGATTTACTGTAGAAAATGAAAAGCTGTACCAAACAGGCCCCTAATGAAGTTTAAAGTTACATTATGAAACCGTAACTTTTAAGCACTGTAAAAACTTTTCAATGAAAGAGTTTGTTAAAGAAGTTTTTTGGTTTTAACGACTAAAGTTTATTAATTATTTTAGCACGGTTGACTTGTTGGCATGGCCGTGGGGCCATTGAACCAAGTATGATCCACCTCCTACGGTTTGTGATTTTTATTGAGGTTTGGTAAATAGTCAATTATTGTGTTGATTATAATCTTTCATGTCGAAGTCAGAGATAACGGTCTTGTTACTCTTTGTATTCTTTAGTCAAATAATATCATGTTTGACTTCGCTTTTTTTTTTTTTTTTTTTTTTTTTNTTTTTTTTTTTTTTTTTTTAACATGTTTATATTTTCTTACTTTGGAGTAAAAAGTAAGTTATTTTAACCGCACGGGAGTATGGAAGCAGCAAGTATCAAATGAAAAGCATATTTTATAATTTAGAGAGTAAAAATTTTTTAAGTATTCCAACAGACTCTCTATATTTAACACTTATCTCAAAAAATATTTATTGTTCTTCCCTATTTTTCTTTATTTTCACTGACTTCCCTCCAAATTATTATATTATTTTTCTTCATTGAAAACTAAAATATTTTGAATTCATCTGTTTTAAAATGTTAATTTAAAGAATTTCTTGGAGCATAATTTTAAGAGTTGACTCTTTAAAATATATATTATTTTATATTTAAAGAGTCTTTTGGAGATGTTCTTAGCTCTACATAAAGATGATTTGTGAAGACTAACAATGTCATATCTGTCCCTGTATCATAAGTAATATTTGGCTTTATTATGCTTTGTCCGGGAAATTTGAAATAAATGCGCTGACGAGTTTTCTGATGCAAAATGTTTCTCCTGGCGCAGAATTTGTGGTTCATCTACTGGATAAAACCATTTCAAGGTATTGTTTCAGAGAACTCTGTGGTCATTAAGTTGTAGATATGTTAATCAAAAATTGCATGTGATAATCAATCTGGGATTTTTGTTGTTTTAGCTTCAAATCCTTGTCTTGGATAATGTAATAAAAAATAGAAATGAAAATGTGATTGCTAATAAATGTGATCATTTATGTCACTATGTAAGAAATGCTTAATGATTACAAAGCATGATCACACGTCACGAAGCATACCAACCTCGTGGTAAGATTTTTTGTTGGTCTTTGGACTTCGATGCTATTTCAAATTTGTCATGGCTTCTAAGATAGTGAAGTAAATATGCAATCTCCGGTGTAGCATGATTTGATGTAGTATAATTTTGCTAAGTGAGTTGTATCTTTCTTTTATGAGATTATGACAATTCAATTCTGATTTGGATTTTTCTCTGCCCGTCTCAGTTCTTTCAGAGGTCAAGAAATAGGAAATGAGAAGTTGATTGCAATTCTTGATCTGCAACAAATTGGTTACAGAAACATTGATACTCGTGGTTTAATCACAGGTTTTCAGTTCTTACAGGTAACTATTGTTCTATGTAAAAACATTGTATTGTGTCCTTTGATTTCTAGTAAAAACATTCTACTTCTGCATTGTTTGTCTGAGTGCAAGTGCAACGTTATATAGTAGAAAAGCCTTCACGTCAGTCAGAACCTTCTCACTTTAGTAAACTGTGACCCTTCGATTTAGTAAATATGGTGATAAATGTATGTAGAGGGCCAGATCCTCTCATTCCATCTTTTACCCATATGATATTCTCTCAGCGTCACTTGTCACCTTGGATGGTGGATGATAAAACAGTTGCATTCCTCTTAAAAACATTATTGATGCAATAATCGGTTTCTCATCTATCGTTGATCTCCTACAAGCAGATTACTTTCTGTATTTCAGAGCAAATATCACTTGGCAAAACCACAGATGCAGAATTTACTGTGTTATTGATATGAAGTGACGGTAATATGTCTATGCTTTGTTGCATGTTAGAAACCAAAACTTTATCTGAGTGACTGAATACTACAATGGCCTAGGCATTAATATGATGATCACACTCATACTGATACTTTGTTCTTAAAAAGATAGGCCATAGGTTGCATGCTGTAGAAGGTGACTGAACAGTATATTGCAGTCGAGCAATATCAGCAATATGTTCTATAACTAGATGCTATCCTATATAAATGTTCATATACATACTTATGTTTGATGTTGTTGTATGCAGTCTTACTATCCAGAGCGCTTAGCCAAATGTTACCTTTTACACATGCCTCAGTTTTTTGTGGCTGTTTGGAGGGTGGTGTCTCGCTTCCTTGAGAAGGCTACTTTAGAAAAGGTACATTGTACATATAGATTTTGGTACTCGGAGATCTTGTAACATATATTTATACTCTAAACTTCGTTCTCCGGTTTACTCATTATAAAGCAGATGATATCTAATCATCTTAATATCGTGTTAACGATTTTACTTCTTTCAAACATGTGTTGCTCGTTTTTTCAAACTCTCGTATTAACTGTAGTTTTGACAATATGTACAGATTGTGATTGTGTGCAATGAAGAGGAAAGAAGAGCATTGATGAGAATTGTTGGTGAAGAAGCCTTACCGGAAGAGTATGGAGGACGGGCAAAACTTGTTGCGCTTCAAGATTTTGTAATAACATCATCGGATGACTAAATGTCGTGAATTTGTGAAGGTGCTATTATGAATCCAAATCGTACAAACTCCTAATATATGAATTATTCTCCATATCAACGAAAATGAAAAGAAATTACAAGAAGAACAACTTGATGATGATGATTATGATCTATTTATCAATTATCAGTTACAATTGTTCTCAACTGTATCTTCAGTGTATCGTTGCTTATGAACAATTATTATTCTTACATGTATTAATATGATGTGTTATTTGTTAGTGTGCTTATATCTGTTGTGTTGGTGCTTAAGTATGTTTTTGTGCACGCTACGTTACCGATATGATTGGTAAGACAACATTTTAATTTTTTTTCTTTAAAGTCGCACAGTACTAAAGGGATAATGAATTCTGAACTTGTAAGTTCAGGAACACGAGTAATACTATTTAATACCACTGATACCAGCATTACAAAAGTAGTCGAATTAAATAAGTCCTACATTCTTTCAATTAATCTAACTTCAATTAAACTTATGAGATAATGCTAATTAGACTCGTGTTCTCCACTATATAACATTATTCTTCAGTATTAACCATAGTTCTTGGATTTGGATCGACCAATAATTGGGTCATTAGACACTGGCAAAACTCACGAGTCGGTTACAAACTGTATTTAAAAAAGAAACAAGACAATCCTATTGAGATAAAAATAAAAGTTTTAATAGGTATATTGATAATTATAAATAGGAAATTTCAATTCCAAAAAGAAAATCAAGATTATCATATTTCAGCTCAAGGACAAAAAGTGCATCCTTGTCCGACAGGGCTACAGTTTTCCCATTTCTGGTGAGTTCAGTTTATATTTAAACAACGTGACAGCACTAAATATACATAGACTATATACATATGCTAAACCTATCTAATAAATACAAGAAGTTTTTGAGACAAATAGCAACGTCTACACAATTTTAATGTCAATTAGCCATAGAGAGGAATGCTTTACAAGCTATAGATCTTCGACATAAGTTATTGCCTGAAGAACAGTCAGACGCCAATTACATTTTGCACGGAAGCCAAAGAAACCAGGTTTCAAAGTCTTATCACGATGATAGAATTCAGATTCCGATTTGTGGATCCACCAGAACATTTCCACATCCATCTCTGCAGCTGAAAAAGGTAGTAGTTGATATTAAGCATGTGAAATCGTATAGGCACGAGGCTTGTAACTAGAAGTTAAGCACCAGAGGGAAAATTGTTTGTCGCCATAGAAACTTGACAATTGCACTGACACACAATGAAATCCAGTTGCAGTTAAAGCAAAATCAGTTAATCAGTCTGTAGTCAATAAACAGATGCGTGCACATGCATGCACACGCATTTGCGTATGTGTTACCAATTACCATGAAAAACTCTCGTACAATTTCATCAACCCCAACTCCGCAAAGTAGGGGGAGGGGGCACTTCAATCTTGTCTCCTTTTGTTATAAAAAGAAGAAATGTTGCATAGCTACATAATCAAATCGAAAACAAATGTGAAAATGTCCACCAAATAGCTATTCATATTTCGACCATCTCCTTCAAATCAAGCAATCTGCAATTAGAAATTGTCCAGGATTAAGTAACACAGAAGCCGAATTTGATCTGAATTATCCGATTTTCTAACTGGTGTAATGGAAATGGCATCTACATCATTAGATACTTACGACACATAGTATGTCCAGCTAATGGAATTGTGAATTAAGCATAAAATTGATGTTTCAGGTGGGATGCTGTATGAATATTTTTTAACTTTATGTACTTCAATTTTTATTCAATAAGTTCAGCAGGCAACCGTAGTTCGATTATGTCCATCTCTCTAAATTTCCAAGTATAGGATAGAGTTATACAGCAGGGCCCGCTTATTCTAGATTGTCATATGCATTTTAAAAGCCTATTTTCTGAAAATTATCACCACATTCAGCACAAGTCATAAATTGCTAGCAAACAGAAAAATGTAGTTAGACAGCAAACATTTCCATTTCTAATTAGTTTGAGATTTAAACTGCAACATCCAAAAGGACCAAAGTTTATATCAGATTGATTGTAATCTGAACTTAACAGTCATTTTACTATCAGACTCGGCAAAAAATCATTTCACGCTAAGTTCAGGCTTCTTTACAAATAAGTGCTCTATAGAAACTTCATAAATGCAAATGGCATATTTAATCAACAACGAACTTAGTCAGAAATGACTTGAAAGGTTATAGGAGATTTTCTATTTCCATAAAACATTCAAATATAAATTTGTGGAAGTTATCATTTCAGGTCACTTTTATATTAAAGCAAGCTTTACAATTTATAATACAAAATTATCTCCTAGTTCCCTACAATACGACAAATCTCATATTTGTTTGGTCACATACCAGCCCAATCCATTACCTTCATAATTGAACAAGCTATCAAGATTGTCCAGTACAAAATTGTATTTTCGAGTACTCACTCGTACGACTGAGTTTGACAGATGACTCTTACCAGCACCAATCCAGCACCTTTATATTTGGATAATGCAGAATTAAATATCAAACTGAGTTGTATTAGCAGGTACCATCATAATAGTTGGTATTGGACCATCTTGTCACCAGAGTTTTCGATATGGAAGAGGTTTGTGAAGGGTTATTTTCCCTTTCGCTTTCGTTTAGAAATATTGGGGATAGCTTTCGTTGGATGTTTATAGGAGTTTATGGGCCTAACGTAGATGAAAGTAGAGGTGGACTGTGGGAAGAATTGACTGGGATGATGAATTGGTGGAATCTCCCAACGTGTATTGGAGAAGATTTTAACGTGGTTCGATTTCCCACTGAGAGGTCCAGTGGGGGGAGATTAACAAGGGCTATGGAGGAATTTTCAGGTTTTATTAGGGAGAACATGTTGGTGAACTTGCCTTTGATTGGGGGAGAATTTACTTGATCATCCAATCGAGACCAACCCGTCCTATCCCGAATAGATCGGTTTTTGATTTGTGAAGAGTGGGAGGCTAAGTATCCAGAGGTTACACAGAGGAGATTGGGGAGGTTGTATTCGGATCATTTTCCCATTTTGTTATCTGGGAATGCAAGGCATAGTGGAAGAAGACCTTTTAGGTTTGAGAAGATGTGGCTAAAAGTAGATGGTTTCGGGGAACGAATACGGAATTGGTGGGCATCCTATGACTTTAGGGGGTCTCCTAGTTATGTGTTAGATCGGAAATTGAAGGCTTTGAAAAATGATCTTAAGAGGCGGAATGAGGAGGTTGTGGGAGATGTTACCTATCGCAAAAATCAATGTCTATCAAATATAGACGAGTTGGATAGGAGGGAGGAAAGTGGAGGGCTGGTAGGGGAAGATAGGGCGAGATATTGTGGATGTTACCTATCGCAAAAATCATTCTATAAGGCTTGTTGAGAAGTGATACGATCAGATATTGTGGAGGTTCTTACCTATTTCTTTCAACGTGGAAGATTCTTAAGAAGTACCAATGCTACATTTATTGTGTTGATTCCTAAGAAACCGGGAGCGACGGATATCAAGAACTTTCGTCCTATTAGCTTGGTGAGTGGGGTATACAAGATTATCGCGAAGATTTTGGCAAATAAATTGAAGGAGGTGTTGGGGAAAGTGATGTCTAAATTTTAGAATGCCTTCATCAAAGGGCGCCAAATTTTAGATTCCGTCCTTATAACAAATGAATGCATTGATTCAAGACTGCGACTAGAGGTCCCAGGAATGTTATGTAAGCTCGACATCCAGAAGGCTTATGATCACGTTAACTGGGGATTTATTTTGTATATGTTTATGCGATGTGGCTTTGGGGAGAAGTGGTGCCAGTGGATTCAGTTTTGTATCTCTACGGTTTCATTTTCAGTTATGGTGAATGGCATTCCAGAGGGTTATTTCCGTAGTAATAAAGGATTGAGACAAGGGGATCCTCTGTCTCCATTGTTGTTTGTCATTATTATGGAAGCATTTAGAAGGATGCTCGAAAAGGCCGTGAGACAAAGTTTGTTAAGGGGCTTTGCTGTTGAGCAGATGCATGTTTCTCATTTGCTATTTGCAGACGATACGTTATTTTCTGTGATGCGGATGATGAGCAATTCAGGAACCTGCGTCGTTAACTCTTGTGCTTTGAAGCCTTTTTGGATTAAAAATAAATTTGGGAAAGTCTGAGGCTATTACAGTGGGAGAGGTCGATAACGTGGAGGTGTTGGCTGCGATCTTGGGTTGCAGGGTAGCGCAATTGCCTATGACATATCTTGGGCTTCCTTTAGGAGCACGGTTTAAAAGCACACAGATCTAGAATAGTATTGTGGAAAGGATGGAGAGAAGGCTAGCGGGATGGAAACGTATGTACCTTTCAAAGGGGGGTCGTCTTACTCTCATAAAGTCTACTTTGTCGAATCTCCTTACCTATTTCTTGTCATTGTTTCCCATTCCGCTGCAGTGACAAAAAGATTAGAAAGATTTCAAAGGGAGTTTCTTTGGGGGAGGATTAGGGGAGGAGAGGAAACTACATTTGGTTAACTGGCGTGCAGTTTGTTCTCCTATTGGATTCGGTGGTCTTGGAGTGAGAACTCTAGTACTGTTTAATAAGGCCTTGTTGGGTAAATGGTTGTGGCGATTCGGAGTGGAGAGGGAGAGATTTTGGAGAGATATTATAGGAGCAAAATATGGTGTTATGGAGCGGGATGATGATCAGGTGAGAGATGTGGTTCTTATGGAGTGAATTTGTGGTGGTATATCCGGCGAGGGTGGAGCGACTTTCGGGATCGGTTGTTGTTTGTAGTCGGGAATGGAAATAACATCAGCTTTTGGGATGATTGTTGGTGTGGAGATCAACCACTTAAGGTGGGATTTCCTTTGTATCTGATTGCACTGGAGCCGCATGTCATGGTGAATGATGTCTTAGATATCCATAATGGAAGCTCTAGTTGGAACATTCTTTTTTATCGAGGTTTGCAGGACTGGGAGTTGGATG